GAAGAAGAAGAAGAAGAAAGGGAGAGTTTTATAAGAGAAATTGAGAGGGAGAGAAAGGGGGAAGATAAATAGGTGTTGTTTTAGAATAGGAGAGGAAGAATAATATCAAAGGGTTGTGTTTAGAGATTTGTTTGTTGGATGCAATCATGTGTGTTTCCTATTCAGTGGAGGAGATGATTGGACTATGCTCTTACAACAATCTTGCAATTGCAATGGGGAGAGAGCCTCATTGGACTTGTGTTTATATATATATATATATATATATATGAAAAGGTACCAGATTTTCAAAAACACTTTAGAGGGGGTGTTTCGAATAGGTTTGGATTAGGGTTACTTACAACCTCGTAAAATATTACGATTATATGTATTATGATGCGTGTACCCTTAAACCAATTGGGTGGATAAAGGAAAGCTATCAAATTTCTAAGGGTTTGTTCCAGAGTAATGGTAGAATTAATAATCTTAAAAAAAATAGATTTAATTATAATTTGACTAAAAATCAATTTAAAGTGATTTTAAAATTTTCAAATCAATTATTTAGTTTACCAAATATGATCCCTAAGATATGGTTAAGATATTGAAAACTCAGTACTTGTAAACCTCACCTTGGGCACAAGTTTTTCAAACCAAATACTAAACACTTCAATTAAATTCCTCAAGCTTAAGATGTTGAGCTTGTGCCATAAATTTCTCTATTTATTTTGCTACTGGGTTAGGTCTATATTGTATTGGGTTGCTTCAGTTTTGAAAAGTTAAGTTAATGTCGTAAGTGGTAGTTTTGTTATCCATCCGAGCATAATTCATTTAGGAAAAATATTAACCGTACCACTCATGTATTTCAATCTATATATTTAACTGTCAAGTCTTATAATTCATCTTTTCATCATCTAAACATAGATTACACGCTTAATAACAATATGGGAGTMAAAACATTTATTTACCTATCATATTATTTTTCTTTAAAAAAGAAAAAGCCACCTAAAATCATATAACACAAAAAAATTCTAATCAAAATCTTGTAGAACAAAAGTATATTTGAGATGGGATTGGAAGATAAGTTTGAATTATTCACAGAAGAATTTAATGAATAAACAAAAAAGAGGACTGTTGATGGATTCCCTTCAAAGTAATGTAAACTTGAAATCTAAATGGATTGCAGAGCCTATAATTAGAATCATTGCCTGAAACTGAAAGGGGTGTGGTCAGAATTTGCAAAAGCAAATTAAGAAATAATTCAACAAAGTTTAATTTTTCTTGAACAACTTTTTAAAATCTATTTATTTTATTTATATGTTGGATTATGTTTCCTGAGCTGTAAAAGTTTGACTACTTTGACTCAGATGCTTTCTCATTTTTCAATATTGATTTGGGCAAAGGCAGTGGCAAATGGCAGCTTTTTCTTTCTTTTTTTAAAACTTTTTCTTTTTTATTTTGAGAATTTTAAAAGAAAATAAAAAAGAGATGGAAAACTGATATTAATTGTAGAAAACTAATAGAAATATTGGGGGTTTCTGGTTTAGGCCCAACATTCTGTTTTGGGATTTGAATTTGAGATTCTTTGTTTTGTTTATAAAGGAAGAATCATATCATTAGGTCCATCCCTCTCTTCCTAAACTATTTATAGACTTAGGACCACTCTCTGGGGTAACGTAGAGTGAGGATTTGAATCTCGATCTTTAGGTGGGTTATTAGTGTCTTAACCAGTTGCGTTATGTTCGGGTTGGAAATCTTCTCTCTATTATAAATATATATATATATATATATATATATGCATTTTCTCTCACTATTTTCCTCTCTTTCATGTATAAATGTAAATACCTTTTTATTTCTTTCGTATAAATAATGATATACATTCTTGCTCTCTCCCTATCTCCTTAAAAAAAACATGCATATCTTTCAATTCAGACATAGCTCGTGTTACTTGAAATTTTGATCTTTACCCCCTTCGTTGAACTCCAACAAAATATATATACATACCCCTAGACCTTATATGATACATCCAACTCCAACTGGGAAATATTTGGATCAAGAGGGATTTACCATTTAGTTCAGATTGGATAAATTTATTGGTAATACAATTGGGATTGGCCCAAAAAGGTGTAATTCGATCTAAACATTTATAGTTAGGTTGGATGTAGGTTCATCATTTAACTAGAGAAATTATTTGAATAAGTGATAAATAGATAACACATAGTCTCAGTAGAAAGATCTAATGTGAAAGTGAATATGAGTATAGTTCTATTTTTCTTCTTTTGAAGTCAGTGGTTCAAATCCTCGTATAATATATATATATAGAAATTTTACATAACCGTCCAAACACACACCAGCAGTGGCACATTACTGTAAAAGGAAAAAGAATGTAACAAAAAACAAAACGTTACAATATTTTATAATAAAATAATGCATTAGTAATAAAGTTATATGTTGGTAGTAAAGTTATATGTTGGTACGGTGGGTAAGCATCCATCTATATATCTTTAATATGATGCCAACTGAACGCTACATCACCTCTAAAGGTCAGACGGACTATTCATAAGTCGTTTCTTCTAGAGACAATCAACTATTTTCTTAGCATTATTATTACTGGAAATAGTCTAATAAAGAGCCTATTTTTTCAATAGTTAAAAAAAACAATGTTAAAGAAAAAATTTATTTTCGTTCAAACCAAATTTTCTATAGATTCCCACCCTGTAAAAATAAATTTATAATTATTTTTAAAGGTAAATAAATTTAAAATATTAATTATGATGGTCTGCGCCCTAAATCATACAAATTCATAAGAAAATTGATTCTTCATTGTTCAGTTAATTGCTAAGTTTATTTCACCCACCTTTTTCATTCAAACGAAATAGTAAAATAATAAGAATAATAATAATAAAATAAATCATCCTTGGTTTTCAAATGATGTGATTTTATATCATTTGTTATAATTTTATTATTTCAAATAGAAAAGAAAATGAATTTTCACCAATCAGATAAGTTTAATGATGGGTTAGATTAGCATCTTCCTCCCATATTTATTTTTTTAGTACAACATAACATGTGAACAATGATTCAAATCACAACTTTTTTTTATCGGAGATAATATATTCATGTTGCTTCATCCCATTTTTGTTTTACTA